GTGAAACAGAGGCTGCTGGCATTTGGAAGGCCATGTGAAACGCCCACACGCTGCTTCTCCCGGCGATACGAGACACGTCGCTCGTCCTCACAGAACCTCAACCACCAGGGCTCAGTTTTGCACAAGCCGAAGAGGAAACGTAAGCAGATGTAGAAAACCCCAARGTCAGACGCAGAGCAAGGAAGGTGTCAACCAGAAACAGTTTTTTCTTCAGTGAGTTCTTGTCTGTTCCCAAAAGCAGGCTGGAGTCAGTACGCATTAAAACCTGGTTAAATTCAAATTGCATTTCCCTCCTTCCCCTCCTACTTTTCCAAAGTTTGGCTTCAATTCATAGACAGACTAAATACAAATCCTTGACTGAAAGGAGGCTAAATCACGCTGCATGTGTGTGTTCATRGGAAGTATAGGAAGAGCAACAACAACAAATAACAAATTATAAAGCTGATATATCAAATCCTGGTGTAATTAAGTGTAATCAGTTGAGCTGCAAATATCCTTCACTTGTTTTAAATTCACAAAATGAGACATTTGAAAAGGTGTTACATTTCATTGTATTGATAACTAACATGATGCTGGCTTTGTAACATGCTTAATTTTAGAATGGCTTGAACCTATGCAACAGGAGAAGAATCAATTAGCTTAATGCAGTGCTGAAGAAAATTCTGCCTCCCCATCCCACTTGGAGCAAGTCCCTTTAGTAAAAATAAGAGAGAGCCCCACACAGTCACAATATAATCCATTTATTGGTATATCTCATGAACGCTCAGTGTTAATCCAGGGGACATAACACCTTTGGCACTYGACTGATTTCAGAGGTCCTCAGCCTCTGGTTAGTAGAAGAAGGTTTTAATAGGACTCGAGGGGAGGCTACTATATCAYTGAATGTGGGCAATTAAATATTTTTCCAACAAGGGATACTATAGCCTGAGGGACAGGCATCAGTGCAGGCCACGGTGCCTCGTTGCACAAGCAGCAGTCCCAAGCTCATTACCACCATGGCTGTCCTGCTCCTGTGTCCATATTCTCTAGTTGCAAGAAATTCCTTGGGGAATTTATCAGATGGTGTTGAATGCCACAGCACAGTTCATCCACCAAGAGCTCTCCTTTGATTGCTGAATAAAAACATTAAAAATTGTTTTCAAGTGGTTGATGGATCACTGCAGCTCTTCCCAAGTGAAGAGACTTTGGGATATTGGCTTAGGAAAGGAAGCAAGACAAAAAGCAGACCCACTTGAGCCCCTAAAGGCAGCAAATASCCACATTCCTGCTCCTTAACCCATCCCTCCACTAACATCTTTGAAGAACTGAACCTCTGCTCTCTGCTCTAAGAGTAATCAACATTTTGTCACATTAAAACCCCCATCTGCCTGATTAACTGCAGCGCAGGACGTRCTTCATACAGACCACATGAGCAGTGCTCAGCTCCAGGAAAGGGCTAAACCTTTAATCCCGGTCCAGCTGGCCAGAGCCTGGACGGGCGTCGAGACGGGGCTGACGRCGGTGCCAGCGCAGGCGCTCCAGGCCAGAGCGCCTGGCACTCGGTCAGCATTTGAGCTTAGAGAGGGAACCGGGCACCACAGCCCGTCCTTACCATCCTTATCAGGCCCTGCAGGTGCACCAGCCAAGGCAGAGCTCCACACAGCGCTGTTCCCTGCCCAGAGCTGCACTATAGCACAAAGCTAGACCTACAGCAAGTGCTCCGAGGGGCCGCTCCGACTTGGGGCCCGCTGCAGGCTGAGCTGCCACTAAGATCTCACCAGCAAGGCCCAAGCTAGCTCCGGCCCACGTACATAATCTACACRTGGCACTAAAAGCACTGACAAATAATACTGAAAATAAACAGCAGATGGCACAGCCTCCTTGGGCAAAGTGTGCTCAGTTCTGGTCGTTAAAGCTCGAAGATCCGCAAGAAAGAGAAAGCATGGAAAGAGAGCACATTATGAAGAAATCTAGACAGCTTGCATTGAAAGGAGACAGAAGTTGTTGAGAAAGGATCTGTAAAAAAAAATACAAAGCAAGGCTCTTTATTCTCTCTAAAAACAGAGAGTACAAGATGGATGGGATGCAACGAAAAGGAAAGGCAATTCATTCAGGAGCCATGAAAGAAAAGGATGTACTAGGGTGAATAAAGTGATATTGGTTCTCCGTGGCCAGAAAATACTGTGGCTGTGAGCTTATCTAAATTAAATACAGGGATTAAGCATTCATATGAAAGATGAATGCAGGTTGCATTAAAAAGGTTTCTAAAGTTAGGGATGTAAACCCTCACACTTTAGAAAAAAGACTCACAAAAGAACAGTACTTAGTGTTTGTACAAGACCTCAACTAACAATTTCTTCTCTTTTTCTTCTTAATAGTAATGCAAACAGTGAATTAAATGTCAAGAACAAAATYCCCCCATGGAAAAGGATGTTAAAACATCTGTTTAGTTCCCAGTCACTTGTACTGTCCTCTGAAACATCTGCTGTTGACCACAGTTTGACACAACATACAGTCCTGGAGCAGCCGAGCGCCTCGTCCCGACTGACAACTCCAAGAGCAAAGTGCATGAGCTTAGTTTGGACCACAGCCCCAGCTTAAGCAGTTCAGCAATTTAAAGAGCAATGACACTGCTCTGAAACAGGGTAGGACAATTCAGAAGAGGATTTACACAACTGACTACACAAAGGAACAAGGTGTAAAATTAGGTGGAGGAGATGGGATATTTTCTTCCCTCTGCCTGACTCCTGCAGGATTAACAGGGTATTAACTACAATGACTCTCACAACTGTCAAGGTGACAAAGTTGAAGAGAAGGAATTATTCTAAATGTGAGAATTACAGGGCTGCTATTGTCTTCTGCATCTCCCTCATGTTATGTGGTAATTTTTGCTAACTCCTGAATAGCAGCAGTGATGCAGCCTCAGGGAAATCACTTGACACTTCCAATCTTTTGAGCACTTTTATGTCAGCTGGGGTTCTGTGCACAAGCAGGAAGAACAAAACAGGTTAAACGAGATGTAGCAGCACTCAGGGAACAAAAACTCCACTTGAACTGCAGCAGGCTTCTGGTTTGGGGGAGACTGAAGGCAAAAGCCAAATCTCTTCATTTTTCCCAGCCAGTTACTGTTCCTGTCAGTGTGGAATTTGAGATTCAATCTCCCGGCAAGACTAGATGTCTTTAGCATAAATATCCTTGGTTATCCATGTTATTTCCTGGAAAACAGTGAGCAGTTTGCAGCTTGTGTCTCAAGGACTCTGCCAGCAGCTGTAGGACACCACAGCCAATGTGGAGACAAGCCCAGCACTACGGGAGGGTGAGGACCAGCACTTTCAACAGGGTTATCAGCACAGGCTGCACTGCAGGCACTCAGCTCCTCAGGGAGAGGCACTAGCAGATCAGAGCCACCTCACAGGCCAAGCTGTAGTGGTTCTGGCACTGCACGTTTTAAAGTTTTCTAAAATCCTTCAAAATACAAGTTTCCAAGCAGGATCTTTAAGTAGGTCATTGCAGGATCTGCAATCTGTCTGATAATGACTGCGGGGAGTGAATGCAAATGATTAGTAAAGTGTACACATAGAAAAATCAGACACCTCACCAGGTCAGCAAGTTTAAATTAACCTGTTCTATAGAAGCCAAAATAAAGTTTTAAGCAATCACTGCCTGCAGAATCCATGGCAATTTCTAGAACATGATGACCACATCTTGTAACATGGCATTGTTCATCCACACGCTCTGCTCTAACTTGTCCTCCATTCTTGCCCTAACAATATGAGTTTAGGTATTACGTATTTCAGGGCCATGTGGGCAGCCTTTCCAGACAGCACCAGTGTCTGACTCAGTCACTGTCTACCCTCTAGTGTGTTAGGGAACTAAAATACGCAGGGCTGGCAGGAGCCCCACATCTTGTATTATTACTSTGTGTTTGGTCTCTGGCCATGCACCAAAGCTCACTAACACTGCTCCTGACCAGGCACTTCTCCTCTCTGGCTCATCTGCACATAATTAGAACATGCCATTTTCATATTTTTCTATCTACTCAAGAATAATAAGTTAACTTATAAAATAATCAAGACGTGTGAAGAGGAAAGTGTTCATTTGTTTTGATAAGAGTGGAGAAAGAAAATGGAATATTCATCCACTCTTGCTTTCTCAGCACTATTTCTGTTCAGGCTGAGATCTGAACCTATCTGATCCTAAACTGCAGCTTGATGTCMCTGCTTGCACACACTCTGGTTAAGCCAGTTTACTCCCACTGAGAAGGAAGAAAAGAGATAGCACAAGTAAAGGAAGAGACAAAGGATATCCAAGAGGCTGCAAGAGCAGCACACACTTCAGGAAGCTGCTTTGCCACGCACTTACTCTTTTCTACATCAAGCAAAGCACTCGCTCCTTGTGCTCCTGGTTCTGAATTTCTATTTGTGTTTCACAGGAGAACTATGAATACAGAAATATTAAAGACTAAGATAATAAATACAGTCCAGTTAATAACTATGAGGTACTGAGAGAAATTCCCTGTAGTACTGCTAAATCATGACTTTTAAGACCTGAATGTTTGAGATTAACGTTACATTTGGATTTAAGGGAAAAAAATACATCTGCTAGTTCTTAATAATTTTGAGGGCAAGAAAGTCATAATCTCTTAGAAATGAAGACTTATATTAGCACAATCAGCTGATTCCTGGAGCTGGTGCTTTATGGAAAAAAAGAAAGAAAAAACATTGTATAGTGAGAAAGCATGAATAAAACTGCAGGATCTGGCAACTGGAAATGTGGGATACAGGATTACAGCTGGTGGGACATGCATCTCTTTCCAGGGACAGGCACGTTCAAAGGGACCACGTGGGAGAAATCTTATTATTTGGGAAAGGTTCCCCCCTAGAGACATAACAGGGGAAACAAAAAACCAAGAACTGCTGGCTTGTTCTCAAGGTCAGGCAAATCCAGCTTCTGACTCCTAAAGCCCAGCTTATGCTGTATGCAGAAGTATCTGAAGATCTGAAGCAACTACAAAAAAAAAAAAAAAAAAAAAAAACTCAAGATTTCTACTGTGCCACAACCTGATGCCATTTCCTAAATATCTCACCTCTCTTTGCCATCTCTCTCAAGTGTGCAAATGTACAAAAACTGAGGAAGAGATTTACAAAGGCAGGTACCTCTCCACTCCTACCATTTTGATATTCCAGGGAACAGGGACAAACGTGATTGCATTACACTCAGCCAGAGCAACACAGGCGTATTTGTCTTACTGGCGTGCAGCTGCTTCCTCTGCTAAGAGATTCAGGACTAAAGTGAAACCAAAGACTTTAAGAAATCAGCCATGACCGTTTCTCTCCAAATCCTACGTCAAAGTTTTCCCAGCATCCAATGACAGAATAAAAAAAATCTATGTCAGGCACAGGCGAGAAGCTCCAGCCCTCAGCTGCTGCATGGCAAAAGGCATCATATATTGAAGATCCACCAGCTCATTTTCATTTTAGCTTGGTCACTTTCTTGATCCAGGGCACGTATTTGCTGACCTTCGTGTACACACCAGGGGAATCCTTGCGGCCACAGCCGTAACCCCAGGAAGTGATCCCCAAGATGATCCAGCGTCCATTTGATCTCTGACACATGAGCGGCCCCCCGCTGTCCCCTTGGCAGCTGTCCACTCTCTTCTCTTCAGAGAGGTTCCCGGCACAAATCATGCGGTTAGTGAACTTCTGTCCGTAGCGGGCCTCACAATCTTCCCGAGGTAGAAGAGGCACAACCCCCTGGAGTAATGTTCTTGAATAGGACTTTCCTGGAACAGAACAGAGGGACCAATTCATATAGGGACAACACCAGGCAACCTAAAGCAAGAGCTCAGCACAAAAAAAAAACCCAAACAAAAAAAAAAAAAACCAGATATTACACATTTCAAGTCAAAGCTGTGCCACAAAAATARGCCTAGCTCAGCATCTCTGAACCATGAGCACTTCAGAGAACAGCACTGCAAAGCCAGACCGCAAAAAAAAAGTGCTGTAAGATCAAAGAAATGGGGAAGAGGTTGGAGAAAGAGAGTTAGATCAAAGGATGACTCTTACTCCTGGTCTGCCAACAAGTAACTTGAATCTTTTTCAAGTTATTCTACCTCTTCATTTCCTCATTTGTAAGACAAGGGCTTCCTTGTTTTCTCAAGGGAATAAATGCATTAATATTTGTGAAGTGCTCAGTCCTCAGCAAAGTTTTGGAAGATGTTTCAGAAGTATCTAAATATTTTTCAAAAGAAATTCACTTCCTCTTTGGCCAGACTTGCCTCTATTTGTTTGAATCTCTTCTGAACYCCAAACTTGCTCAGAACATAATCTTCAAGTGCTATATTAGAGCACAGCCTTTCTCGGTCTAAGATTTACAGCAAGKCCACAAGAGACTGGTGTAACTTTACCCCTCATCTGGAAAGCTGGTTTTGGAGTGTGGGAGGGATTCTGGCCATTAATTCCCAGTACAACCTAGGGGAGTTGCATGGCTAAATTGCTCCTTGATCTTCCCCAGACGCCCCAACACGACACGTGCACCTGGCACAACTGGCTCCAAAGACAAATGTATATTTTCAGTTAAGCACTTGGGTAAGAGCCAGAGGGACAGCTGGGAAGGGTGGATAAGTCCAAGATCAACAGACAATCTCTTCAGACTATTTGCCTTTTGGCAGAAAGTTTTTCTAGACATGTGGATTTGCTCTAGTCCCAGCAGCCTCAGAAAGTCCTCCCTGCCCAAAGCCCTGCACTGCATCTAGGAACCCCAAATTGGAGAGGACTGCGCAGCTGGTCATAATGTTTTCTTTAGAATTTAAAGCTATCTTCAGGCCTGGCTAATACATCCATGTAAGGGCCCCATCAAGCCCTGAATTTTAATATACTTTGACAGAGTTAAACACTTAATAATTAACACTTTCTAGCATAATCCTTTGTCCCCTTGGCCCAAGAAGCACCACAGCAGTGGCTACAGCAAGTCTTGAGCCAATGTCAAAAGACCAATGGGGAATGTTTTTGTCTTGTGCAACAGCCAACGTCAGAGTCCAATGGGGAATGTTTTGCCCCCCGTCTCAGGATCAAAATCCAAGGAAATCTGACACTGTGACCTSGCAGACCAGAAAGGCCAGCAATTGCACAGGAAGAAAACTTGTCTAGGTTTGTTCCCCAGGCACATACCTTGATGAGCAAAGTAGTCAGAGAGATACYCCCATTCTGCTAACTCTGTTAACCTCCCACAGTAAGGCCTCATTCAACTACTAGAGTAGCATAAAAGAAGCAGGTGGTCATGGAAACATGGAGGCTTCCCTGAAGACAGTACACAGTTCTGCAGCAGGATGCTACCTAAGGCAACTGCAGGTGTGTGTGGAAGGGAGGAGAAAGAAGAATATGACAAAAAGATAGCATTCCTCTCTCTCATAGATTCCAAAGAATACTACGATAGCCCAAATTTTCACTGTAGACAAGCCCAAGAGACCSTTAAAATTAGAAGGCAGAGGCACCAAATTACTCCTCTTCCCCACTCCTACAGCCAATGCACAGATAACAGGAGCATAAAGCCATATTCTTAAAGCTGTGATGTAAATTAACGGTCTGTATAGACTCCCAAGTCCAGATTTCAGCACCTATTTTGCTCCTCAGAGGTCTATCACTTACCTGTGTCTCCCCATCCAGARATGATGCAGGCTTGCCTGTTGATGTCAGATTTCTCTTTCCTGCCAGGAAGGCAGACAGGCAAAACGTGGCGATTGAAGGAGAGGCAGTGTCCCTCTCTGCCCCGCATTCGGACCAGGGCAATGTCATTGTCATTGCTGCTGGCCCAGTAGTTCCTGTGGAGGACAATCCTCTCCACAGGCAGCTCCCTCTCAAACTCATCCTTCACACCTGTGTGGTAATCACCTACCCGCAGCAGATAGCGTCGCACATCAACACCAAACCTAGAGAAAGACATACCCAAAAGGTTGGTACTCATCCTGAGGGAGAAACACAAGCCTCAATTGCTAAAAGATTGAACTACTTCCTCACAAACTTACAGAACCAGAAGCTGCMGACTGTGGTTCCCTTTACCAAATCACAGAAAGATTAAGGTTAGAAGGGACTTCTGGAGATCATCTAGTCCAAATCTCCTGCACAAGCAGGGTCACCTAGAGCATATTGCACAGGATCACATCCAGGCAGGTTTCCAAGATCTCCAGAGGAGACTCCACAATCTCTCTGGGCTACCAATTCCAATGTTCCAGTCTTTAGCAGCCGGGCTCTTAGAGCCAACGGATGCCACAGATCACTGTATGCTACACACAAGTCTTCTCTCTATGAATAGGATTATAACAGTTGCAAAGTCTCTTGATCTTCCCTGCTCACTGTTCCTTAAGTCACTGGAAGAGTAGCAAAATGCTCATTTCCCCTTAAGCTGTAAAACCTCAAAGCATGTGTAAGCAGTGCCTATCTTTAGTCATCCCCATAAATGCTCCCAGATCACACATCATAACCTGAAGGTCCTGGCTTAGACACTTTGCTTCGCTTCCACTGGAATGGAAGGACAACCTCATATGAGATTATCTTTTAGTCTTTCTCTATCCCTTGCTTGCAAGCACACCTTTTGAAGCAGTGGGCTGCAGTCACTACCCAGCAGCTACTTATCAGCGTCGCTCCACACAGCAGACGAGTATCTCGATGAAAACCCTTCAGCCGCAGTGACGCCTGCCACGGCCAGCCGCCCCTGAGGGAGGAACAGAAGGACAACAGGCATCACACACAGGAGCTGTTCTCCTCTGTTCTGATCCACTCTATCCCATCTCTCCTCATTTGGTTTGCATTCTCCTCTAGATGGGCCCACTGGCTCAAAATCAATTCAAGAATCACCAGGGGAAATGTGTCAGTAAGGTCACACTTGCTAGACATATGGAAAGCAAGTGTCTATAGGAAAGCTTGGACCAGCTCTGCCTTCCCCAGCTCTGCCTTCCCCAGCAATGACAGGGTAGTACCTGAGAGACTTGTTTCCACCTATGATCCTTTTCTTGCGACGGTGAAGCAAACGCATCCCACACATGCCAAACTCTGGACCTGCACAGCAAAGTTAGAGCAGCTGAGTAGATTTCTTCAGCTTAAGTATGAAAAATTGCCATCACAGAACCAAGACAGCAATCCCCTTCCCTAATGGCATCAATCCTCATGGTAGTCAATTGCTTTGTATACAGAAAATATAGAACAACTGTTCCCACTGGTTTCCTCACTCTGAGTGGAATAGTTTACCTCTAGTACTTGTAATCCTATGCCAGGAATGGGACCTCTACAACTGTTTTCTCAGTATTCTAGAAACCAAGTTTGCTCTCAGCTACTGCTCTAAGGAAGGATGCAGCAACTCGGCTGCTGGGAAACTCTGCAGACAGAGGCCTGAAATTGGTGAAGCTCTCAAACTCTAGTTTGGAGCACCCCTTGCTCCTAAGACAAAGAAACACAGGAAAACAGAAAACAAGCAAAGTAAATTGGAGGCGCATGGCAGGGCATGCTTACTTTGTAGCTTCATTAAAATAAGGCAAGAATTACAGGCAAAAGTGTAAGATATCTGCAATGCATACTTTTACAGCTGGAGTCCTAGACTTCAGCACACAAGAAGTGGGTAAGTCACCTGCTTTCCTAATATCCTGGATCTTCTCTTCCACGTAGTCACAAATCACACCAGCATCTTCACTGTGCCAGCAGCTGCGAGTGCCAGCGTCAGGCCTGCCGCACTCCCCCAAGGCGTGCTCCATGCCACTGCATTCTATATTGTCCAGATGGATGGGCCCATGTCCCTCACCAAAATAAGCCATTCCCCTGGCTTTTGCTGCCCCACTGCAATGACAGAGAAGATGTTAATTTACAGTGAGCAGGAAGCAGGTGAACTTGATACATCAGCAGATTTTAGGAAAAATAATATTTGCATATTACTTCATATACATAATACTCTTGAACTTGCTGTTAGCAGCACGAGAACAGGATCCTACTTCCTCAGCTATTTGAAGACACACGAGAATTAAGGAACAGTCTGCAGAAACAGATCTGGAAAGAGCTGATTCCACCTGGATTTTTCCCATATGTAAAATGCACCTACTGGGTCTCTTACCTGAACCCCAGTTGCCTGCAAACCACTGCAGCATCTCTGTCTGTCCAGCCTTCATCACAGACACTGCCCCACTGCCCGTTCAGGAACACCTCAACACGTCCCTCCTTGGTGCTTTCTCCATCCACCAGCCTCACAGGAGGCCCTGCATGAGAAAATACATAAGCCACTGCAAGAAAAAATACTGAGAACATGAGGTGTGTAGAACTAGGGATCTCTGTGAGAAAGCTGAATCCCAGGGATCAATAAATCCCCCCTCCAATTGTTTTTCTAATAATAAAGACTATGCCTCTCATTTCACCTTCACCTGCTGAAGTTTAAGACTACATGAATATTAATTTATTTAACACAGATTGCCAACCACTAGTAGATCATATTCTAGAAGCTGAGTAAAGAAGAGAACAAGAACAGAAGGAAGGTAATAACTGCTGAGCCAAGATGGACAAGCTTAAACACATGCTAGGAAGAGTCCGTTGTACCTCCTGTGGAGCAACAGCCCTGTGGCCCCCCATCCAGGTGCATGGCTACAGGGYACCTAGGACCCTTCTCCCAGAGCAACTCCCCTCACTGAGGCAGCCCAGGGAGAACTCCCACACCTGCCAGAGTCTCAGAAGGAACAGGGCAGTAACCAGCACTTCTGCACTGCCCCAGGAAAGAGGCCTGCGCGTTACCCAGGCTGCCATCGACGGCCGTGTTGCCCTCGGGGGAGCAGTGGACTCCCACATCCTCGGCGTGCGAGCAGTCGTGCTGCCCCCAGGCGCTATGGGGACAGTCCAAGAGGGACAGCTCTGTCCCGGTGCAAGCCACATCATCCAGTAAGATAAAGCCCTGGCCAGCAGCATAGTCCCCTTCAGAGGTCACAGTAGCAGGACCACTAGAGGAAAGAAACAGAAACATCCATTAAGACTCAGTAAACCGCACAGAGCGATCCAAACTCAGATGCAAAAAGAACCTCCCCCTGCAAAGACCAAATGCAATAGTGGTGGCCTCCCTACTTAAGCCATTCAGTAATTGTATGTACAAGCATTGTATACTGTTTCATTCAAAGGGAGGAATTTAGTCAAGCATTTTTTCAGCCCGTGAAGCTGAACTTTTACAAGAATATTATAAGCATACTAAAATGTCCATAAAAAATGTTATTGGCCTCAAGACTACAGCATCCTGCTTTTAAAAATCTTCCACCAGCTCATACCTGCAGTGAAGGCACATGGAATTTAATTCCTAAGACTACRAAGCACAGACACTACAAAACACTCTTCCTACCTGAAGCCCAGTTGCCTGCAGACCACCTGGGCACTGAGATCCGTCCAGCCATCATCGCACACTGTGCCCCAGTCTCCATTGTAATAAACTTCTACCCTGCCTTCCCTGGGGCTGCGGCCACCAGCCAGCCTGACAGTGCCCTCTGCAAGGGATGGGAGAAGGAAAGATGAGCACTCAGCAGCAGGGAACAGAAAGGGCACTACCCCGTCGTTGGAGACAGTACAGCCTAAGACTGGAAGAGACTGAAGATACAGATATCCAAGGATACTCAAAAAAAAAACCCAAACATTCATTGCTCACAAATAAGCCCAACTACCAGCAAAGGTTCCAGCTCAGCTTTTCCATGACACTTGTGGAAAGCAATGGGCAACTTAGCCTGGCTCTGCTGCACTCCCACCCGCTTGCTCTTTGCCTCCCCAGCTGGTAGCCCTTGCAGGGGTGCACACAGGACTGCAGGATCCCAAAGCAGGCAGGGTGTCTGCTGAGCACATCGTGTAACACAGGAAGAGGAAAGGCTGCATCTGCCTGGCATAGAGCTATGGATCTGTACCTGTGAAAGGGTCACAGGAGACCCCAGCATCTTCAATGTGGTCACAGTTCTGTTGTCCCCAGTCACTCTTCTTGCACTGGTCAAGYGAGAGTTCATTGCCTGAGCACTCCACTTCATCCAGCAGGATCGGGCCGGATCCCTGCCCATAGTGAGCCCATGACAAGGCTTTTGGGTTTCCACTGCAAACAGTACAGATACACATGCTTACTAGGAAAAAATACAGTCTTGTTCTCTTGGATTTTGTCTTAAACAGGAATTTGTCTACACTAGTTCATCTGTATTTCTGACAGTGGTGTTACCAACTGTTAACTGAAATAGCTGCCCCAAAAAAAGACAATAATCTATCATACAACAAAATAACAAAAACCCATTCACAACACAAACAGACAAAACACTTGAGAAGTTCAGAGGACAATGATATTTCAATCTCAGTGATAGGCAAAACTCAAAAAGTTTGAGAGATCTCAAAACTGCAAACACCTCTTAAGCGATTCTGTACTGATTTGATTTTCAGGATTGCTCAGTATACAGCAGCTCCCATGCAAAGTGCTGAATGGCACARGGGAAAATGAGGAATTCTCTCTTGCTTTGCTGATACATGAAAATTAAGGCAGTCAGTGAAACTGAAGTTGTTAAAACAAATGCAGTTCACATATGGAAATCATCATGGTGAGCTATCACYGAGACCATATTCATATGTATACAAAAACACAAGGCAGGGATAAATGTAAATGTAAACTAACCTTGAACAGAGATACATCAATTGCTTTTTCAAGGCCTAGACCTGTAATTAACTGAGAGGAATTAAGTATAGAATTCCACGGTGGGATGATCAGTCTTGAACTATCTTCTCCAGGGTCTGTACACACTTCCTCTTGAAGCAGCTCGTTCTATACCAAAGGGATGTTCTCTCACATGCTTCCTTCTGCTCACCTTCATTTCAGGGAAATTACCTGAGTCCCAGCTGTCTACAGACTACTTCAGCATCCCGGTCATCCCACTGGTCATCACAGATGGTACCCCATTTGCCATTGTGGTAAACCTCCACTCGTCCTTCAAAGCTCTCCTTTCCCCCGACCAAGCGCAGCGGCGCACCTACACCTGTGCTTCAAGAAAGGGAAAGAGAGCAAAACAGAGCAAGGTAGAGAACAAGCACATCCAGCAGCCAGGGGGTAGATCTATTCACTAGCCAGAGTAGCTCTGAGGATGCTCTTATCCCTTCCCAAGGAACCTTTTCCCCTCAGCCTCCCCAGGAACATGCATGGCTGCAGCCCACTGCTGCCATCAAGCCATTACAGTCGTGCTCTCTGACTGAGAACTACAATGACCAGGATCTTGCTGCCCTTGAGCAAGAGTCGGGTTTGATAAACAGAAGACCAAACCATAAATCACTGCCACCTTGCAATGATTTTAGCAGTATGCCCATGGAGTATTGAGATTAGGAAGAGAAAAATGGTTTTCTGCTGGAAAGAAGATACTTCTTTCCATAGTAGGTTTAAGATGAAGCTGCTCCAACAATTAATTCCTCACTGCTTCACAACCTGAGCTTTTACGGTTTATCAGCAACGCTGGATTTCAAGTAACTTAAATCCAAGAGACAGGAAGAGAATCTTCCCTGGAGATTTACCTTCTGGAGGGACACAAGTTGCCATGGCACCTCTCTGGTTGCAAGCTCCTGACACAGCTTCTTGATAACCACACTGCAGCAGAGCTTTTTCATCCCCATGGCAGTTTGCTGACTGCAAGTGGAGCGGAATATGCCACAGTTCAGAATGACTCCTCTTCCCAGCTGTGCCGATCTCACTGGTACAGAAAATGCAACAGAAGGATGAAATGCAGCAGTCCTGCCTCACTTGCACTTGTTATCCCTCACTCTTTGTGACTCTCCAGYCTAGCTGAGGCCTTTCATACCCAGTGAGACCAGCTGATTGGGAGCGTGTAATGGGGCAGCCATTCACAATTTAATGGAAAAGCACAGGCAAACTCAAGGCAGTTCCCTCTTCCTAGCACATTTTGTCTTGCTGCTTACTGTACAGTAGCTGATCTGGTAAGAAATGGCACCCTCTTTTGAGGCTTTGATGTTACAATCCYATCAATAGATGTGCTACATGTTAAAATTAACACATCTGAATGAGCTTCTTCCTTCTCTGTATACCTTTAATCTTTGCTATTTGAAGGTTTGAAGAATTTGTCATTCCCAAAGAAGAATTCAAGATTTCTAACACCTTCAAGATTTCTAACAGACATCATTAATAGGAAAAGGAGACATGATCTCACAACTCATTCACCACATCCTTGAATGCCAAGCTTCAGAAAAGCTTGAAATAGTTGTCAGTAAATGCTGATGGGGATCAGGTACTGCCATGGAAAGAAAACACCAATAAATGACCTTGCTAGGTGGAAACTCAGCCCACAAAACAAAACCCTCATCCCCCAGGCAGTAAAYGATGCCAGAGGGATAGTTACTGCAAGACTATTCTCCCAAAGGCCGATTGAGCAAATACATCCTGCAACCAGCCTGAGCTCCCACCTGAGGCCTAGCTGCCTGCAGACAACACTGGCATCCCAGTCAGTCCAGTGGTCAGCGCAGATGGTGCCCCAGAGTCCATTGAAGTACAGCTCCACTCTGCCGCCTTCAGCCAGCCGCACAGCGCCTGACAAAACAAAAAGCTGTTATTTTCTGATGGACACTGGTGGAGGTCTCAAAGCAGCAAGTTTTGGACTTGGATCTGGCTTTGTTCATTCAAATTTTACTCATGTTATCACTGAAATGTCTTGTATGAATTGCTGGGGCTGGCTGCCTTCCCAACTGCAGTCACTGGCTGCTTGGGAAAGCAGCTGGTGCTCTGCCCTTTTCAAAGCCATGGTCACATCGCCAGCAAACCTGGGCTCTGCTGGCAGCCATAGGATTCCACTTCCCTTTCTGCGAAAGGGGGATGGATTTGCATAGCACTTGAAATAATTGTATGGAAAAGGCAGGTGCTCAAATTGGCACTGACTTTCCACTACTCATTCTGTTTTCCACCAACCACCTCACCCAYGAGTGTTGCTGTTGTTACATCTAATACTCATAATAACAGACAAATCCTTCTTAATGACACTAAGAGACAGAGGTGCCAGCGTAAATGCCCTTTCAATTACACTTCTCTGCAAATCTCTGCTGCAGTTTAGAGAGTGTGTCTCTGCACTCAGCTAYGTGCTGGGGAGGCACACACCTTGCTGTCCTTGGGATGGGTGCCCAGCCCACCCTCACCAGCCATGCCCTTCACTTTAATGGAGGCATTGCTGAAAGCGTTCCCACTGGCAAGGAGATTCTGTCACTTCATTCATTAAACTGGTGGTCTATTTGTCCTTCAAAGTGCAGGAAAAGAAAGGAGGGTCGGAAAATATGAGGACAAACCGGGCATTTTCAGGAGCATTGCACTGGAGTCAAGCGTTTAAGAGGGCACTCAGGTCCCCTGCACACACTGAAATAAGCAGCTCCCACGCTGTCACTGCAAAGAATTTTTAAGTGAGCCTGGGATCCACCTTGCTGAGCGCTTTTACAAACTGAGACACAAAAAGATTTTCCTTATTATAACTGAACAGCCACAGTTACATTAGGAAAGCTCTCCTATGGACCTTAAGGAGTGGGTTGATTTCAGCATAACTTAAACTGCTTTCAAGTTGTGTAAGTTAACAATACAAGACAAGCTTCCACATATTATATGGCATTCTATACAAGGCATTATGGTGAAGGCAGTTTAAATCCACCCCCTACTATATTTGGACGTTCTTCTCCCACGCCGACTAGCCTTCAGTTCCAAGTCTTTTGACAATCTGAGACAGTCACACAGGGCCTTTCTTTCCCTGAGTGTCCCACCTGCCGCCGGTCCGGCCCGTGCAGCRCATGCTTTGGGCCTGACCTCCCCGAGACAGCACAGCCCAGGCCCTGGCAGAGACTCCGGGGAGCCCTTACCCTGGTTGCAGTCGCAGTTAGCCCAGCCGATGGCTCCCGAAGCGAGTCGGTAGAAGCACCAGGGCGCAGCTCCCCCGTCCGGGTTCCTGCAGTGGTTGTGGTCGCCCAGGCCCCGGCCCGGGTATTGCTGGACGTAGTCGGGGAACTCAGCCCAGCTCAGACACGCTGCGCCGCTCTCGGTGATGGCCAGCGAGCCGCTGTAATACCCGAGCGGTCCCGCGCCGCACGCACTGGCTGCTGGGCACGGAAAGGAAGCTCTTAGCATCACCCAAAACATCACAGTGACACTCAGAGGATGCAGGACACACAGCCGACTGTTCCCCAGGAACACCCTCCATGCCTGCAGTCCTGATTGCTACTTGCCTGCTTGGTTTTAATTATACTGCTCTTCAAGGCAGCTGCTAGAAGAGTATTTATACACACGATCCAAAAAACCCATGCTGGTCTGAGTAGTGAACTACCCAAACTCCTGAAACACGTGTAAAATCTGTGGCCAAACATGGACAATTTGAACTGGTTCCCACTACTGATAACTTCAATAGAAATATTCACGTAACTCTGGGCTAACACTTGAACTTGACACACGCTTCTCAACTTCCTTCTCCACCTGCTCTTGTTCCAGAATAAGATGCTTTTAAAGCTCTTCAAAAGATCCATTTCCTCTCTAAATTGATTAAGACTGAGAAGAGGTTAAAATTAGCTCTAATTTCACTCTGTAAAGCAGGAAGGTGAGAAATTACATAGTAATTCACCATATGCATGCTCTTTATACACATTAGCATATCAGTTGGGCTTGTCTGAACTTGGCCAAGGTATGGGAGGAGAAAGGGAACCCATTTTGCAGGAGTGCAGGTGCCAACGTTACAGGTCAGTGCTTATATTAAATATTTCATGAAAAAAAAACAACAAAAAGACCAAAAACTACTACCCCACCCACACAATTAATTCAACATGATCTTTAGCAAAAGGAGGAAACTTTCCTTTCATGGCCTTGAAACATGAACAAGGGAAACCAGAACCAGATTCTTCTGCATGAGGTTAGACTCTCTGGAGTGCATAAGAATGGGAAAAGATAACTCAGAAACGGATAATGAAATAATAGCTCTATTCACTGAGTAAASAAATGGAAGCCAAAACCCCCAGAAAACCCTTCTGGAGGAAAGATACATAAGGCAAAAATATCAGGCAACTGAAGAACACCATTTGCCTTGTATCTACAGGAAAACTATGAAGTCCTGAAGAATGGTGACACCTAAAGAATAACTACAAGTTTTTTTCTTAAAAAAAAAAAAAAAAAAAAAAAAAAAGTTGCAGTTAACAGGTAGGTGTTTGGAAACCACTCTGTGCTCTCTGGATTAGCTGGAACCTCAAGAAGGGGCCTTTGAGAATTCACTTTTTAAAGGAGAGGAAAGGTGAGGGTGTGAAGAAAAGACTGAGGAAGAGAAAGATGAAAGGAGAACACGTGGGAGAAATAGGGAATTGCAAGAGGAGACATGAAGGAAAGAAAGGAGTTTGACCATTTGGGGAAGGAGGTAAACAGCAATTGAAACACACAAGAGAAAAGATGATTGAAAAAGTGATAGAAAAAAAGGAAGACAACGAGAGAGTGGTTTCGAGTCACCACTGCAGGAAAGAGTCTGCTTGATGAATGAATTAATAACTTCTTGTTCTTACCTGCACTCTGCAAATGGTTTTGGCTGGGCTGGGATCCCAGGAGAGGCTGGGAAGAGAAACAGAGCAAAAGTAGAGAGATGATTATCCAATAAAATAAACACGGGCATGTCCTGAAAGCAGCTCAGCCTTTTGCTGCTTTAGGCAAACACTCCCTAATAACCAGCTTCTTTCTCTGCTCTCCCCATTGCTCTTCCTCAAATCCAATTGCAGCTCTGCCCACAAAGAACAAAATGAATCTCTATCAACCTGTAGAAATTTACTTTTAACCTAAGCACTWCATTACTGGGCTCTGCTCGTCCTCTGCAAGCTTTCAGTCCCAATGCTCTGAGCAAATGGAATGGGAAGTCTGAGAGAGATGCATATGGAAAGAAAAGCTGGAAGAAAAGTACTGTTAGCAGAAGCAAAATAACTAGTAGCTATTCATTCCCTCTCCCTGCACAGGGCAGGCCACCTATGGCCACAGCAGCAAACACAGCCTCTATCTGATGGGATGGTGCCCCCAGGAGTTTCCATCAAAACAATAATAAACATCCACAAAAAAAAAGTGGCAAACATCTTCAAGAAGTAAATCTGACAGGACTTTTTGAGAATTGTGGGTTTAATAAATTTCAGACCCTGAGGGATATGATATGATGCATCTTATGATGATATTTAAAAAATGGGGTTAAAAAGCAAATAACAAAAATTATGCAACAAAGCTCTAAGAATTCCAGCAACCTGTCCCCAAAACTGCATTTATTCTTGTAGGCTTTCATGGTTATAACCTGGCTGCGAGATAGAGATCTCCACTTTAATGCTATTGCATGGTTTGCAGGCAGGTGCAAGATCTTCAGACCCAACAAAGTGAAAAGAAGAAATTTTACATGCTTCTGCTAGCTCCACATACCCTAATTAATATCTAAATACAGCCAGTTTTATATGAATAAGGAGTTATAAACCACAGAGCGGAGGTGTGCATATTTAAAAACTGGCTGTAGGAAACAGTTGTTTGTCTTCAGAACGCAGTAATTTTGCTTCTCTCAGCTTTATCTCTCCCTGGAAATAGGGGAGAGAACAATTTAGAATTAAACTGCWTTGCTGATGCGGACTGAATCCATCTCTGGAAAAAAAGCAAGGTTAGTTCCCATAGACATTAAAAAGACTGACACTTCCTGGTGGCAGATGTCATTTAAAAACCAAACTTATGAACAGAGTTCAGCAGCTGTTGACAACAGCAGCCAAGCTCTGGGATCACCCTCCAGAAGCAGAATGTGATATTGCATATCGAAGTGCAATTCCTGGCATGGTTTAGAAATACCAGATCACATCTCACATGCACAAGGGGATGCACAGGCAAAACAGCAATTAATTGACAATTTGCCTACAGCCAAAACCTCATCTTTCTGCATGTACTGTGCTATTCTGAACCCAAATTATCTGTAAACTGGCAACGCTGAGGATTCATCTGAGGATTTCAAAGCTCTTTGAGGCAGGTGAGTTGAGCTAAACTTAGGTGGCTGCCCAGAATCACTCAAGACAGGTGCCCGAGTCACCATCCAGGTGCCCGAGTCACCATCCAGGTGCCCCTGCTCCTCGCCCACCGTGTGTGTCTGCATGCATGTGCAGCCCCGCAGGAGCTACAGGAGGGGTCTGGCTAGAAGAGAATGGGCTGTATGGAAAACTGAACCCTTCTTGGAGACTGACTGTAAGTGGAGGGACTGCAGTCTGAGCAATCTGCTTCCTTGCTAACTAATGATCAGTGCCTGTCACTTCCCACAGCAGTTTTGAGGTCCCTCAGTATTCACTATCACCACTACCAAATTTTACTGCAAACACACAGTGCTGCACTTGCTGTCCCATGTCCATGTGRCCATAAATCATCTGCCCACAGCAGCCATAGGGACAATCAGTCAATTAGCAAAGCACAAAAGCAAAAGATCCCTCCTGCCAGGGACACTGCAGTGCTTGAGAAATAGGGGAAACCTGAGCCAAAGCATCTGCAGGCTCTTGTGCATCCTGCTTTTTTCTTTTTTTCTCTTTTATTAATTTCATATGTAAAATGAAATAAATCCTCCTCCAAACCTCCGACCCTTCCCAAAGACTGCAGCTGCCTGAACACTTCAGACAACATACTCACTGAAAACAAGACTCACTTACAGAGAGGTTATTAGAAAAGCCATGTGACTTCTTACAAGCAGATAGGAGAAAAATAATTTCTTACCTCCACATATATGAGACAGAATAGACCCAGGAGCACTAACGAGAGTCTGAACACTTCGGGGATCTCCATCCTTCCTGTGCAAAGTGGCAAGAAGCTTCTTCAAGCTTCACATTCTTGTTCTGCTGCCGCCTCAGCTGCCGTTCCCTCCTCCTGCTTCCCAGCTCTGCTTCCCCAGAGCAGAGCACTAGCAGCTTCGAACGGGAGGGCGCAGGATGTGCCTCTCATTTCTGTGCAGGAAAAGGGATGGAACAGGAGGGATCAGAGTTGTCAGCAGCATCTTCGAATTTCACTTTCCCCTACCCCTTCTTCTCAATTCTCCTCTCTGGAAAAAAATTAAAAAAAAAAAAAAAAAAAAAAAAAAAAAAAAAAAAGAGGAGGGAGAGAAGGCAGGAAGACGGTGCCCCCAGTTTTTTCTATCACCTTAAAAAGCAAGCAGCAGGCGCAGATGGGCATGGTGCCTCCTCCGGCGCCTCGCTGTCCCCTCCCTTCTCGCTGCCCCAGCCTCTGCTCTGCTCTAGGTATGCGGTTCTCCCCAGCGCCAGCCTCCGCCTCGCCTCTCCTGCAGCCCGGCCAGCCCAGCGCTCTTCTGAGATTCCTCCCTTCCTTCCCTCCACAGCTGGCTCTTCTTTCCTCGCCTCCCTCAAGCACAAGAGCTAGAACCACCGCGGGGACCTGGGATTGCCTGCTGCAAAAGCTCCAGCCACAGAGCTGGGAAGCAGCTTGTGCACACACACTTGCCAAAGATTAGACTTGCTGGAAGGAATCTGGACTTTATGCCCCCCACTGCTGCTTCCTTGATTAGCTGCTTGCAGTCCCCCGAGGTCAACCCCTTCTCAGATCTGAACCCAGGTAAATGGGAGCAAGAAACCTTCCCATTAAGCAGCTTTCAGATTTCTCCAGGAGATACCACAGGTGGCAGAGCCCCCTTGGGGTGTAACTGTCCCCCCACCTCCCTCTCCCCCGCCAGGTTTCAGCCTTGCACCTTGTCATCATTAACTGCCTCCCGGGATCTTTTCCACGAATTATCTCCTTGACCTTGGGCTGAGGCWGCCAAGTGTTTTTCATTTGATTGGCTAGGACACTTTCCAGAAGGTTGACTGTTGCTACAAATCTTATTGCTACGAATAATCCTAAGGTTTCTTCAGTGTTCTCACTTTACTGCTCCTTCACTTGAAGGAGGGCTAGAGACTACAAGAGTATTAACATATTAAATCAGAGCAAAAGATGAGCAATTTAGTTCTATTAAGTCTTGGAAATCTTTATGCATTCCCTGCACTACCCCTTAGCTCAGCCCAACGGGCATTTCCTGTATACTCTGATTACTGAAGAATTAACTCTTCTTGCTGCTCCGCACCATTAAACCCAAAGGTCACCTTAAGAGAGAGCTCACTTGTGGCCACGTATTTCCCAAGTCCTTCAGCATAAAAACTAGAATCGTGATGATAAAAATGCCTTGGCTTGGCAAAATCTCCTTTCCATTTACTGCCCATTATTCACAGCACATGACAGTTTTGTGTTTCATTCTTTGCCACTCAACAATGCAAAACACTTCCACTATGTGCTGGATCCTTCTCAGGAGCCACTGAGTGGTGGGAGTTTCTTGACTGAATTTGTATCATGCCATATTCTGGACTGGGGATTTGGCCAAGAACGGCTACTATGGAATCGATTGTAATTCTCCTCTATGCTCATAGCAAGAGACATGATCAAGGCAACAGAGTTGGAAAAAGCTTAGATGCCACAGCAGTCTCTCAGACAGCACTGACAAAATAGAACAAGATAAAATAAATGGAAACATGTTGGAAGTTTAGAACTGCTCACTCCAGTTAAAATAGGAGAAAAAAATACTGGAAACATTAAGAGAAAATCCATTACCATTTGAAGAACTCTTTAATCCTTAGTGAAAATTAGAAAGACCATTAAAGCCCTTTCAAAATACCCATGAACATGCTCACCTATTTTAACCACAAAAATGGTTTTTCTCCTAACAGCAGCATCGTACATTTAGATAGGGGAAAGGAACTGCTCTATATAGCTTTTTTTTCTGATACTAAAGTTTTTATTTTAGTTTAGTTTATAAAAAACTAAAGTTTTCTAAAGTTTTAAAGTTAAACCTCTACTAACAGCCAGCACTAGATCTCTTTCACAGTAGCTTGTGAGTGGTTTCCCTCTCAAGTCAAGGCTTTCCTAGATACTTTGAAGTGTTTGTTCTCAAAGGGAACATAGTCCCATGCACTAAGAGCAAACAATAAGTTTGGTATCCAGCTTCCAGAGAAACAAGAGACCATGCAAAGATACACTGGTCTTTGCAGTAGTCTCCTCTCTGATGGGTCATCCACTGGAGCATTTCTCAATTGCTAAAACCTCCTTCTATTTTCATTGGGCATGGGTAATGACACTTACTTGAAGTAGGAAGATTTCAGATCCTCAAAATCTTCTCACCGCCCTCTCTCTCTCCTTACTCCTTTCCTCATACCCTGCTACTATTCAAACAAGATCAAAGATCTGCCTATACAGAAAGGCTCCAGTAATCAAGCTAGCATAATTTTACAGCAATTTCTGCTGATATCAGTCCCCTTCTGTACTGTTGTCGCTGAAACACCTTGCAAGGACACTACGAACTAAATTAACCCTGTATAGGCATGAAACTGTCCAAGAAGGAAATTACATCAATATAACCATAGCAGCTTAAATATCCCTTATCTCTAGACATGTTACCTAGCAAGAACTTTCCTGCGTGGGCAAGTCTGGAATAGCTGCTATTACCTCAGCCCACTATTTAACACTTACCAACTTCTCACCCTGATACAAGCACGGTTTTGTTTCGGTGATAATTTAACAGTCTGATTCCCTCCAGAGTCTTGTTTTCTATTCTTTTCCAGATTATTCTGTATCAACCCTCCTAGCAAAGAATACTATCTTTTAAAATGTTCTTTGCTTTCAGGTAAACTCATTTTTCCTCAAGCCTGGCAAGACTACTACTCGCCAAAAGCAAAAGGCTTTGATGAGTAGCAATAAGCTACTCAAGACCATGTCTTTTGATTAAAAGTGCAGTATCTTCAGCTGTTTGGGCTAAGAATTAAGGAAATAAAATCACTCATTGCTACACTAGGAACAAGTACTAGTGTGGTCACTGGTCAAAGACAGTGACACGATTGTGGGCAAAGAATCGGGCTTTGGGGCTTTGCTAGTCTCAAAGTTCCTACTGGTATATTGGAAAGCAAAGGCATTTTAAAACTTTGGAATAATCACAGCTATTATTTAAACATCTATTGAAAGCCTATGAGACTGAAAAGAGAAAGGCAGAATTAAACTGTTTTCACTTTTCTGAATGGTATTCAAAGTTAGAGTGGATGAAAGGTAACATATCCTTTACATCCATATATTTACAGACGATCTCCAAGAATTTCCTGCCCTGAAGGCTGGAGACTGAGGGCTGAAGCTCAGGAAAACAAAAAAAACATTGCTTCCTCCACAAGTCACCTTCAGTGAAAACCTAAAAGAAAGGTAGTTAAGAGCAATCATATCCAGAGCTGGTACTGCACTCAGGTTGTAAGGAACAAAAGTAAGATTAAGGAATTCCAGGAGATTTGCTTAAAACCTATAAATCCTACTTAGGAGGGTAGAACAGCTAGTTAGCTTTTAATTCTTTCCCCACCACGCAATCACATACAGGTCTCCTCAGCAATGTCCTGAACCAGTGGGCTCAGCTCCAGGAAGAGCAGAACCAAGTTTTCTACTGTGCCCTCAGCTCCAGCTTGCGCAGCAGGACAAGCCCATGGCTCAGGGAACAGTATCATTCATTGCACCAGTAGCTCACATTAACTATTAACAGAACTACCCCAACATGAAAGTGTCATGGAATGTGCTTATATATCCAATAAAAGCCTAACAGTGAGATACTGGGAATTTGCAGCAGCACAAATTCCCAATGGCAAATCAATACCAGGAGGCTTTCTGGTTTCAGTATGGAATGCTGAACCAGGTACTTCCAAAAAAACAGCATTATAAAACTTGGGTGCATATAAAGAGCAATCTCTCTCCTCCTTTCCAAATAAATGCATTCCTTCAAGGTCTGGGAAATCTTAGGCTAGCACCTGAAAGCTACAGTAAAGATTTAAAAGCTCTAGGGGAAAAAAATGCAACTCAAACTCACTGCAAAGCAGTAAAATCCAAAATTAGCACTCCAGAATAGAGAGAAATGAGCAAAATTTCTAAAGGAAAAGTACAACAAAATCATATTAAGTTCTCTTTTACAACTTCTTATATAAGATAGTTCTTCAAAGACACGGGAATCTGGTACATCTAGCATAAGATGTGTAAAGCTATGCTTGATACTCTAAGTTTTAGTAATAAAGAAAAACATTCCCAACAAAAACAAAAGCAGAATTCATCAATTTCTCATTCCCACCTTAGCTTGTCTTCTTCAGAACACAAAGAATTAGAAAGCACCTCCTTCTCACAGAACATCTTTTGGACCATCAGTACAGAACAGAACAAACAGAAGAGAACAAACATGTTTTTCTGAAGTTCTGCTGTAGACTTCAAGAAGATGCTCTTCTTGACATTGAATCCTCTGAAAGGCCCATTTACAGCAACAAGCAACAGCAACAAGAGAATAAGTTATGTGGTGGAATAAGCCACTAATGAGCACTTGCAAAGAGCAGTTAAAAGAAAATTGCCCCAATAACTGGGACACATATACATGTATTTTTTTAATCAATTAGGTACAGATCCTGAAACAACAAAGATTTGCCTGAAGTTGGTAGTACTTTTTCAAAACTGGAAAAAAAACCAAAATTAATACTTAATCACATGATTCCCATATCAGTCCATGCTTAAACCTTGTTYACTTCTTTTTATTTATTTATTTTTACCACAACAGTACAACTTCTTTGGTGTAGACTAAAAGCCATCCAAGTCAAACAGTGTTCTTGCAATACTTTATTACAGTACAGGTAACATSAGTCTGACAGGGCACCATACGTTTCCCATCTATAAATCAGAGCACCTACATCACAAAAACATCTACATTAATGTTGTATTTGAGTCTTCTCAGTGTATTGTAAGCTAGCAAGGTATTTTGCTGGAGAGTTCTTCCTCATTATCCAGCCCTCTTGTAAATGAGCGGAATTAAAAAAATTCCAAGAGGAACCAAATTATATATACAGATGTGCAGCAGTAGGAGTCATGAGATTATTGTTAAGTTGGCTTAATGTCAAGGCATGAACACTTTCTGACAGCAGCTCATGAACTAGGCTGAAAGCTTATACATGAAGCGAAGTCACTCCCAAATTTTTTGGGGGGGGGGGGGGGGGGGGGGGGAGACATTCCTAGACGATTTTGTTACATACTGAGGACTTGACCCCACATTGTGGTTGGCTGAAAAACACATTGCAGAAATCTTAAGACTGCAAGACCAAAGCAGCTCACAAATACTCTTATGTTGCTGTAAGAGTTGAATCTTTCTATCTTTCTTACTCTGGAAACAAAGACATGTCAATCAAGACCCAGAGAGATAGACACTACCTGACAACAAACACTCACTGAACTGTTTTTCTGAACTGTCCTCCAAAACCAATCCCAGCTGTAGTTGCTTCTCCACAGTCCTTAGTAAGGTACATTACATATAACGCGTGATATTAGGAAATCTTCTCAGAAGCTTGTTCGCTTTGCTTGAAGTTAAGTTTTCCCTGAGTCCCAAGGTGACTTCCTCCGCTTTCTCCCTGCGTTCCTTCTGAAAAAGAAATCCAAAATATTACCTGAATTTATTTGCTGAGTTGACCCTCATGCTCAAGGACTACTTATGATTGTTCTTGGAGGTTTATCTCAGAAGAATGCCACTTCTTTAAGGAACATTTGTAATAGTGCTTGCCTAAATAATTGCAAGGCTTTAGAAAAAGTAATGACTGTGGGTCTCCTTCAAATAGTGAAATTAATGAGTGACCATCTTCTTGACCACGGTATCTCTACACATTCTCAGTTTAAAAATATGATAAGCTTACGTTAACACCACAATTTCCCTTTACTTTCTAATTTTTTGCTTATTTGGCAAATCATTCTATCTACTGTGGACTTTTTTCGTGTTTGCTGTCATGCAGTAGCAGGGAAAAACAATTTGATGGAATGTTGATACCATTACTGAAAAAGCTGGAAATAGGAAACAGGTTAAAAGCACAGCTAGTAAATATATTTACTTTTATACTACTTTTCAAACAAACCGTATTTTAAATATATTGTATTAGGAAAGAACACCATATTTTCCATGTTTGTGCTCTGCCTTCTTTATGGAAACTATAGCCAAATTTATTTCCATTACCAAATGCACAAAGTCTTAATTATTGTCTCTCTGGATTTCAAGGGAGTAACTTCTAAAGCACAGAATCAGGCAGGGTAACTCCAGAGCTGGTAGCGTAGTAATAGTTGCTGTTAGCTGGCAACTTCTGACTTCTGATCTAAAATTTCTTCTTCTAACAAAATGTCTAGCTCTCAAATTTGGAAACAGCCTAAAATGATTCAAAATTTTCAAAYTGCACAGGTGTAACTACCTCACAGACCCTGAAAATTCTGCTTAGGATGAGTATTGCTGAAAACAGTAGTTATATCTCTACCACCGTCTCGTTTCTGTCATCACAGAACTATTTACAAATTTGTCACAGAACTGAGTGTAGGAATCTGTAACTACTATCTAAGCAATGCAAAAACTGGGCCAATACTCAAGTTAACTAATTCTTGATTTTATGAATTAGGACAATTACTGGAATTTACCTGCACTGTACTCCTGCAGTGTACAGTCCTGTACAAAAAAACCTCAAAGCAGAGGCTCCAGAACTACAAGAATGGCCCCAAACTAGAAACTAACCCACTTTCCATGCCCTACAAACCACAGTTTCAAAATGCAGCCTCCCTCACTCAGACTCAGTGCYTAATGTGCAGAGGAGCAACATTTTCTGGTGCTTCAGTAGCGCTTATRGAGATTAAAAACCGGCAGCAGTTATCACTGTTGTCGCACAGACAGATGCCTGAGGGCCTCCTCCTTCCTCCCCACCACCAGCAGCCTTCCAGAGCCCCCATTACTTCGGCCTTGGCCACGCAGTCGTGGAACATGCGGATCTCCTCGGCACAAGCGGAGCTGCTGAAGTCGTTCTGCTTCCAGCAGGCCATCATCACCGACATCTCCGTGATGCACGTTGCCTCTGGGGRGCAAAGACAGCGCGGGTGAGCTCGCCCAGCTCGTGCCGTTAACAGCCTTGTGTCGGGCGTGCATCTCCGCTCGGAGAGTTAAGACGGGGCAGGGGGGAAATGAAGCGGCGAGGCGCCGCGCACTCACCGCCCGCCTGCTCCCTGCGGTTCGCCACCTTGTTGGCGAGCACCAGCGGCCGCGTGGGGCGGATGAGCGGAGGCCGCTTCTTCTGGCGCCACTGCCCGGAGACCCAGCGGGTCACCCAGGCCGGGTAGACGGGCGCCGCCATCTTCTGCGCGACGGGCGCGCGCGCCGCGCGTCAGCGGCAGGGCGGGGCGGGGCGCGCACGGCCGTTACGGCCCAACGGTCTTTTCTGAGACCGGGGGAAAATGTAGGAGACGGTATCTCCGAATAACGCAGGGGCACTGGGGAGTTACTCTCGAAACATTGAGGCGGAAGACCTGTTTTTTCCACTTCCAATTTTCCTGATCAGACAGGAAATGAGCTTTCTCGTTGGGCTGCCGCCRGGCGGGCGGGCAGTGGTGATGGTGGAGGGGGGATAAAAAACAAAACCAACCCCACAAACACAAGCTGACACCTTCAAATTAACCTGAAGTGCTCACATAACACTAAACATTGGAGCTCTTACAAATCTAAGCCAAATTGCTGAAGCAATTTTCAGTATTCCAATTTATGTAAAGTTCATCAGCTAATGTTTTCTCCTCTTCTAGTTGTACCTACTGCTAATCATTTTTCCCCACCACGTTTGCCTGCTGTGGATACTAATTAGGCTTTCACAAGAACAAAAGGAAAGGGGCAGATACTAGGGCATAAGCAGAGCCAAAACACACTCCTTGTAAATCACCTTCCATTTTTACAGATTACATTAGTTAATGGCAGCAGCACCTTCAGGTACATTCACCTTGAAAAGCTGACTGCTTTTAAAAGCAATTCCAAGAAAAACAGGGGCAGAGGAAAGGCTAGGAAAGAGAAGGGCGAGCTGTGCAAGGAGAATGTTAATGGCGCCCTGTCAGTAGCGCTGTCTGCATCAGGCTCTCCCTGGCACGCAGCCTGGGACTGGAGCACCAGCCGAGACAGAGTAAGGAACGTGACTGTCTGCGCACGCCATGCGGAGATGATGACGCAAGGTACAAGCCTCACTTTGGAGGGAGAATGTGGAATTACAATGAGGTGGGGTATTCAATAGCAGAGTCTTTCTAAAAGCCTGCACTTTGTGCAACTCATAGGAAGGAATCACAAGTGGATGAGAGAGTTTCCGCTTTCCAGGTTCCCTCGCTGCCCTGACTCCCTCTGCACATTGGCAAATACCACACAGGTATGTCTCACTGCAGATTCTGAGTATATGATGATGAAGCGCTTCTACAATCCTACCTGTATCTCCAACTTACCGTTTCCTTCAATTATCATACAAAAAAAAAAAAAAAAAAAGTAATTTCAAACATATTCCCACTACCCAAGCTAATGCATTCAGATGATAATAGCACTTAAATAGCTGTGACGGATGCAGTTTCTTTTCTGAGGTCATAGTTCCTCCCCCTCCCCAAGCTCCAATGCTATCATACTTTTTTTTGGACCTACCTCAATCTCACCAGCTTCCCTGAAATATCCTCTTCACCCGGTTAGTTCTGAGTTGCCATCCCTAGTTTCTAATCCAACTCTGGGAATCCCTAGTTTCCCAGACCGACTCAACGCCAAGCTCATGCTACTGCAGGTTACCTGATACCTCCTTATTGTTCAAAAATGTCCCAAAATATCATGGCTTGCTTTGATCCATTCCAAGACCTCTGCATCATCCCTTGCTGAACTGAGCYACTTCAGCACTAGATGGGTCTTTTCTGCAGGAAAGAACGTGCACATCAGTACAAATTAAGGTGCCAGTCATGTCAAAGCCCTGGAACAAAATCCCTGCAGTTCCACTTGTCCCCACCCTTCCTAGACCTCTGCAGTGCCCAGCATCTCCAGTGCCAGCTCCGCTACAGCTCCGAGTGACTCATAGGAGAAGTGCAKTTTTTTAATACTGACACAATCCTTGGCCCAGCTGGCTTTATCACTAAAAGGATTTTGTGTCTGATGAATTTCAAMCCATCAGCAGAGGTCTCTGAGCAGAATGAAGGAAGAGGCCGCCCTGTATGTTTCCCATTAATAGAATTTCTCCAAAGGTGCCTGGGGATCCATCAACAATCCTAACTAAATGCAACCCTATGGATGACAGCTAATCATTAAGGGAGTGGCTGTCTCTGGGCAAGGAGGGACAAGGAGGCTTGGCAGGATGGTAATGGGGCAGATGGCTGCTTGTCTGCCACAGCACTGTTTAAACAGTGTTGTCTCCCACTGGCTCTGTTCCAATCCAATTTATTCTGTTCCCAGCCTGCTAGCCGCCTGTTCTTCCACGAGCTACTGTTTCTTAAGCCAGTAAAAACTGCCCTCTACCAAGGTGAGGGAGGAGCATTTTTCCTGTGATCCTACAGCTACTGCACTTGGCAGACCACTTCCAGAGAAAAAGAAATCTCATTCCTCTTTCTCTCCAAACATACATGCCCACTTGGCACTTAAATTATGTCACTCACCAAAGAGGATCCAGGCATTTTAATTCAGTTTAAGAATTACTTTAGCAACACAAATAAGAAAAGGCTATTTTTTTTTCTTTTTCAGTTCTAAAAATGATCAATGTTAAGTATCAAATAATGCCAGTAATTTTCAATGATGCTATTTCACTCTCAGAAATTGCACTCCTTGTGAAAGCTGGAAATACTGATTGCCAGTTCAGCAAATAAAACTTTTTTTCTCTCTCTCCAGAAGATAAGATAGCACCTGGTATCCCAGTTCCGGCAGATGGTAACTTTGGCCTGTCCAGTGCAATAGACTGCTGTATTTTCAACCTTCAGCTGGACATTTGTTCCCTCTCTCACCTCTGAGAGGGCAGCAACTTATTCTAGCTTGTTTTGTTAGCTCTCCAAGACATATTCCGTCTGTCATATGTCTGTCCCGCCCCGTCAACATAATACTGTTTCATGCAAGCAGCTACAAGCAGGAGCTACCTATTTTTAGTTCACTAATGCTATGAAATAAAACTATCTTGACAGCTTTGATATCATCCATGTAGTCACAGGAAAAAAAAAGGCAAAACGTGTGACAAGCAGTGGGGTAGTGACTCACCCTGTTTTTCAAAGGCCTAGTAAAGGGTTTACAGGGATAAATCTCTCTAACACTTTTATCTTAGATTATTTTGCTGAAATTTATGGTTAGTCTCAGGTTGGGTTTTGTTTTGGTTTTTTTTTTTTTTTTTTTTTTTTTGAGTAAGGGCACCTGCACAGTTAGAACTGGATCAAGAAAGATGCTATTTACACTTCAAGCCTTCCAATGGTCACAATGTAAATGATGATATTCAGCCACTATCTGACTGCTCTGGATTTAAAGCTGAAGTGAGAAATCGACTGTTAACAATCAAAAACTTTTACCATCCAAAACCTTTCTCCAAAATATTAATAGCTGTTGCAGTCTCCTTCCTCCTTGTTTGCATTCACATATTTGCATTAATAGAAAGACTACTGGGATCATAAATTTAATTCGCTTTGGCTAAGCTGGGCAGTAGTCTTTGGATGTTATATAGTAATCCTTCCAAATGTATAATTATGTTAATTAATCTCTAAATTCTTCATTGCTAGTAACGGAAAAACTCAATCTTAAGTCACTCATTCTCAGAAAGAGAGCTTTTACATGACACATAGAAAACAAAACAAAAACCGAGAAAGAAATTCTGTAAAAACAAACCTGAAATYATCAAAGTTACAAACATTGCATGTGTCAGGCAGTGTTTGCACGGTAGTGGATATTCTTATTCCAGAACTGGTAAAAACTACAAGCACAGTGGACAGTCCTGAAAATAATTATGTCCTTCAATGGTGTGAGACYCAGCTTCTTTTTTTCCTGCCCTCAAAAAAGCAGAAGAAAGATGAAAACTCAGCCCTGCTAGAAGACGGACATTATTCAACATTTTTGAGTTCTTGCTGTCTAGAGAAGTAGGTGCTGTGARGGTCGGTCAGCAGCCTAGAGCAGAACAGCAACCACAGATCTTGCACCAGCGGGGAAGGGTTCCCCCTTCTCCCACTCCAGCCATACTCCTCTAGCACCTGGACAAGTCATTCAGTAGAATTTCAGCCTTAATACATGTGCACCATTACAATAAATGAAACATTTAACAGACACACTCTCTATAAAATTCATGGACATGTGTTATACAGGAACAAATAAAGCCAGTATGATCTCCTTGCACTACCAAACACCTCCTCAATGCCCATGCAGATGCGAGAGAAGCACAAAGCTTGGCAGACAAGCACATCAAGCACAAGGCTTTCGGACATCACTAATCAATGAATGTTTCAGCAAGTGCTGTAATGCACATACTTACCATTGGAACTTCCTCCTCCCACGYGTGCAAGGACGATACATTAACTGTAGGATAGGTAATTCGGGTAACAGCAGATTAAAGACAACAGAATATGAACTTAATTATAGAACTCATTTCTAGTTCAATTATARGATAAAACAACAACAAAAAAAGCAGAATGTGTTATTACATACAAAAACAAGACCAGAATTTTTCCTCCTGGCTATCTTACCAAAAATCTCAGAGAAAGGCTTACGTGATAGTCCTGATTAAAAAAAGCACACAAAGGAAACAGAGGTTTTCTATACAGATTTTCTAACCTTGGCATTACGGAGGGAACAAGAAATGATTATAGTCRTGATTTCAAACTTATGGAAACTTGCAACTAAAACATACTAATTCTACTCAATCAAGTTCTATACAATATCAAGTAATATACCTATATATTAAAATACTTGGTTTAAAGTTGGGAATTGAAATAATTTAGCTGTGGTCCCATTTACATGTCACCTACAAAATCAGCAAAAGAAGAAAATTAAGCAGAAATTGACACACCCAAACCCATTCTTTTACTATGAAAAGAGTTTAAAGCACAAGTACTTGGGGAGAATAATTTTATTACTGACATTATTTCATAAGGCACAACTGTTCTCCACAGACATTAGTCTTCTGCAATTCCTCCATTAAAAATGTTATTAGCAGCTAAAAATATATCATAATGAGGAGAATAAGTGATTGGTAAAATATTTATAAAAACAGCAATGTATGTTTTAAAAATAAAAAATCCCTGCAGTGAAATAACCTAGGTTATTTGAGCAGAGTCTGAAAACGTGCTCATCTGAAGTCACAGGGAAGCATATACCAAATGCACCACGAGAGTAAATTCTTCTTTTGCCCCAGATGTTGACACTTGCAGGTCAGCAGTAGCTTCACACTCCACTGAAATTCAAATTCAAGCAGTGGATAATATCTGCACAGCTGAAATCCAATCACAACAGGGACTGACTCACTTCATCCGTTAGAAAAAAAAATGTCTCTGAAATAGTTTTTCTGCTATTTCAAGGCAAATATTTGGAGTGAGGTAAGAATTTTCACTCTCAACTTTCAACATAATTTTCAAGTCAATGCCTTCCAAAGATGAGTCAGTGATGGCTGGTCCTCTTGAGGAAAATCTCGTGCATATAATCCCAAAATCTTTCCTGATGCGACTCATTGCGATGAATCATAGCAGTGAGAGCCTCACCCTGATCAAGACTTTGCCAATAATCCTGCAGCCACATCTCTTTCCAACTGAAACATAAAAAAGACATCACCATAAAGCATAAGGAAAAAAGTGTGTGCAGCTGTAGCAATACTAAAACCTTTTTTAATTTCACCTAAGAGGAAAGGTCAGGGAAGCTCATGACAAACTATGATATTATTGGGCCATTGTGCTCCACTTAAAGAAATCTGTTACATGAATTCTCTCTGGAAAAACCACCTCACTGTTGGCTTTAGAACTTTTCCAAGATTTCAGCATATGTCTAATGTTAGTCATCCTCCAAACTCTAAAGAATAAAATCTTCTGTTAAATTAAAATCTAGCAGAGAATCTTTATATGATGGAGTGGCTTTCCATGACCAACACATTTGAAGCTACAGTTAAAACTGAAAATAAGCTTTTTTTTTTTTTTTTTGTCAGACAAACCATTTAACAATTAAGAGACTGACAGCTAGTTATTACAAAAATCAGTTTATACATGAACAGGGAGAAAAGCTCTCTAGCCTGACTGCATACTTAATCTCCAGACTAGGTTGCTGARCACATGCTTCCCTTTTTCAAGGCATGCATTCTCAAACTTCTAGCACAGACTGCCTTATAACATCTTTGAGCAGCTCCTTTTCCATACATGATTGTGTGGGCTACGCTCATTTGTATCACATCAAAGCATGGCAGAAATTTATTCAGCTCATAATTAACATTCTTCCTTTTCATGAAAGACTGGATTATTCGAACRTTACCTTCTTTACTGTATCTCAGATGTATATGAGCTGTATATGAGCTAGAGAATAATTGTTACACCTGTGAATAACAGTTACAGAGCACGAAAAGGAATAATATTGTAGCCATACTGGGATTTGGGAGCAGCTCTAAAAATATATAAACTTCAAATGCCTTTGCAGTTCTCTCTGTGGTCCTGAATCCTTCAGCACCCAAAGTCACTGTGTGCTTAGAGTCAGACTTTATGAGCTGCATTTATTCCATAACTTGCACTCTTAGTAGCCCTGTGTCACTTCCCCATCATTCATGTTTTGTAAGGAAACAAAACACGAGACTGACAAGCTCAGGAGGCATTCACCCAAATCGACCAGGCTGCTCTTRTAACTTACTGTCGAGCTCTGGCAAAAGACAAGCATGTTTGTACAATTACAATAACACTTCTATTTTTCTGTCACTTACAACTCTGAAGTGACCACATTCCACTGTGAAAGCTCGGATGACTGCAAGGTGGAGAGCAAGGTGGATTGATACACAAAAACTCCTTGCACAGATGGGTGAAGCACCTTAATTTGCAAGTAGGCAGCAGAGTACCCAGACTGTGTCCTCAAAGGTATTTCCCTACTGCCACCTGCTGCTCAAGAAATTTTGTGAAAAAGCAGAGAATATTCTTTATGTAGGGTAGGATGAGGGAAGAGCATATTTTCCTACAAAGGCAARGTATTACTATAAAAAACTGCAATTAATCACCCAAGACTAGGGTAACAAAGACATTTAGTGGCCTCTCTTACTTGCAAGCATCATTTTAACTAGCCAGTTTATTAATTGTACTGTGAAAAATATTTTGTAGTGACAAACGTTGAGGTAAAGTTAGCTTAACACTTCATATAGCTGAACCAACTCCAGGATTCTGAAACCTGTGRCAATAAACTGTTACAGACACAAGTAAAATCTGATACAGCCTAAGGTTTAGCTTCCACTCTCTGACAGAAGAGAGCCACACGAAACTTAATGCATCTTCTATCATACTTTGAGAGAGTCTAACTTAGGTCTAACTTTTGCTCTGCCATTAGAAGCAAGCTAAACACACCCTGAGCGCTTTTRCAACTCTTCCGTTTAAAGCTTTTTGCTTCAAAAATCATGGTATTTGTACATTACCTGTCTCCTCCAGMGATATCTTCAACACTTCCAAACCCAGGGGTTGGCATAGGACATCCCATATGCTTGAACTGAGCAATTCGAGGTTTGGGAGCTGGAAGTTTCTGACGAGACTTTTTGTGCTCCTGCTCTTCTTTGACTCGGGTATTCTCCCTGTCACAGAYGAAACACTCGAAGCCGTTCAGGTAGTTGGGCAGAGTCATATCATTAACACCCCACTCCCGCCTCTCCAAGCTCTCGAGCAGGAACTGGTTTTTGATTCCACCAGGCTTTTTATACTCTAAATACTTCAGATATTCCTCTCCATTCTTGTCCAAGAAATTAAGATACTTTGCCAGCTCTTGAGGGCTGTCAAAGTCATCTATGAGAATGATGGAAAGGTTGTTTGGCATCCAGTCTCGCACAACTGGAGAGCCTCGGTACACAGGGACAGCACCCAGATGCATTGGGCGCCACAGTTTCTCAGTCATGTAGTCATTACATATGGCATTCTCTAAAGCCAAGTGAAACTTGTATCTGGCAACAAAAGTCATGAATTCAGAATCTTCTGTAGTGGCTGTAGAAGTGTCTCTCAGTCGCTCACTGGGAAGCTCACGGTTATGCAGGCATTTCCCATAGGAATCAACCTAAAATAACAAGAATTATCTCTTCAGAAGTGATTAATGTTTACTTGGAGCTTGTTCTCAGGCCCCACAGTTCTCAAAGTTCTGGTAACCTTAACTTAACCTCACTTTCACTCTGACCTCATTCCATTCTAATAAACAAAAGCACTGCAGGACTTCTCAAACTAAGCAGCACATCTTACTACTTCACTAGCCAAGTCTCAACCATTCACAGCCACTGTTTTAAGCAGCAGTAATGCTCCTAAGGGGATAACTTTTCTTTACGCCGACTTACAAGACTCCAAAGATTTCAGCACTTCATCTAGGAAACCAAACTCATTAGGGAATAGCTCAATCTGTTTCTGATCCTACAGGTTGACCAACTCTGTGACTATGAGCTACGGTGAGGCCTACCTACTGGCGTGAGGTGCAGTCTAGACCACGCTTTTGGAAGGAAGGCAACTAGTTTTGCTGTCCAGCTTGTAGTCGGWGCGCTTCCTGTTACAACTCATCTGGGCTAAAAACGAGCACAAACAAACCCTGTTAAAAGCAGGTCCCGGAGGCAGTGGCCAGGCTGGCCCGGCTCCTACAGCGACACAGTGCCCGGAGTTCCCGCTGCAGCGTTACCTACCTGGATGTACTTCATGAGCTCCCGCACRTAGCGGTCCCTGTCGGAGGGCACGTCGCAGTGGGACTGCATGTAGAGCACGGGCGCGTAGCCCCGCTGCCGCCACGCATCCTTCTCGGCCAGGGGCACGGGCGGGCGCCGCAGGTAGCCGGCGTCGGGCAGCCACTGCAGCGTCAGCGGGTAGTCGGACTCGCGGCGGAACGTGGCCGTGTAGTTGAAGAGGCCGATGCCGGGCGAGTGCGAGAGCACGTAGTTGTTCATGGGGGACTCCTCGTGGAAGAGGGCCCAGGTCTGGTGSGGCAGGCGCGGCAGCGGCGCCTCATAGGCCCTGAAGTCGGTGCCGTAGAAGATGAGCGCCTTGGTGCGGCGGTGCCGCGCCGCGCGCCGGCTCCGCGTGGCCAGGCACGAGCCGCGCGGGCAGTCGATGCGCTCCGTGTCGCCGGGGAAGTGCGGGAAGAGGCTGCCGCTCCACCAGAGCAGGATGGGCAGCGCCCTGTTGGGCCGCGTGTCATTGTTGCCGGGGCCGCGGTAGGACGGCGCGGCCACGGCGCCGAAAGCGGCGGCCGGCGGCACGGCTGCGTGCGGCCACCCCTCCGCCTCGGCCTCCTGCTCCTCGGCCTGGGCCATGCACGGCGCCTCGGCGCCCGCCGCCACCTCCGCGGCGCCACAGGCCAGCGCCAGCGCCAGCCAGAGGCGCGCGGGGCCCCCCATGCCCGGCTCCTCCGCCGCCCGGGCCCGCCCCCCGGCGCACGCAGCGCGCCTTAAAACGGCGACAACGCGCGTCCCGCGCCGCCAACGGCCGCCCCGCCCACGGCCGCCCCGCCCTCAACGGCCGCTCCGCCCCGCCCACGGCCCCAACGGCCACCCCGCCCCGCCAACGGCCGCTCACCAGCCGCGGCCCGCCACAGGCGGGGAGGAGTTCGCCTAGAACGAGGGCACGGGAGCTGTTCAAGAGCTACGAGCGCTTCTAAGCCACGCATCGGTTAAGCCACGCACTTGCTGCTGGCAGCAGCAAATCCAACATGGATTTGTTAAAGACAAAAACACACAACATCAAAAACAACTAGCACTTAGACGAGTTGTGAGCACCTAAAACTCTTTTCCCGGCCCCACTTGCACTAGAGAGGCCTGCGGGAAGCAGCCCCAAAGCTGCGGCTGGCCTGGGGCTGGCTCAGCCCAGGACACACACTGGGGGATGCGCTGCCCCCCGGCCCAGCACAGGGTGCAGACAGGGCACACACATCACAGCCAAAGGCCACACTGCGAGGGAACAGAAACCATCTTCATGGAGCAAGGCTTGTGTTTGTACACCGACCTGGCAGGGGGATAAAGTTCCCACGGGAGCTGCTTTTCTGTACCAACTCGGAATAACTTTGGGTGTTAAAATACTCCGTAAATGGGACTGATGGCCTTACATCTAACACAAGAATGAGTAGTTCCATAACTGAGTGCTACAAGCTCCAAGTTAATGCTCCTGACGGATAATTTAATCCATAATATTTCCTAATACCTGAATTACTAATAAGGACAATCCAAGAAAATAAGTATTCTCCGTTTTTATAAGGAACAAGTTAAAATACCAGAGGCTCCCCTCATGTTCCTCCAAGGAAAGGCCAAGCCACAGCTTGGTCACAACTACCCACGTCATCCCCGTCACCTCCTCCACTCCCTGAACGCACCCCAAGACCCAGCGCGAGGTGACAGCCACCAGCTGGGCAAGGTGACCCCCACATGGAAGGGGGCACTGCCACAACACTTCCTCCAAGCACAGTTTACTCCATACCAGGAACATACAGGATGCACAAGGCCCATCATTATTGCAGTATGTCWGTTAAACAGCAGATTAGGAACATTCTGTAGAAGAGACTGAGCTCCAAATATTATTGGATATTTAGCAATGATTGTCTTGTGCTTTCATATAGACCATTTAAAAAATTACCARTAAATTGTACAATAGCAATCTTCCAGGCTACAGTTAAATAAGGAAAGGGATTTAAGTGCAACACAAATTAGGATTTTAATCTAGACTGGCCAGTTTACACCATATTCATTCTGAACTTTAATTCTGCAGTTATCAAAAAAAAAAAAAAACCATGGTGGAAAGAAAGAAAGGAAAAACCTTCCTCGACATCTTAACTCTGGAATAGTTGTCTCTTACTCTGAAAAATTAAAACTGAAGATGTAAATTTAACATTGCCTTGAGGTAACCAGAATACTTTTCAAAGCAGACTAAAAAAAAAAAAAAAAAAAAAAAAAAAAAAAGAGAGAGAGAGAGAGAGAGAGAGAGAGAGAGAGAGAGAGAGAGAGAGAGAGAGAGAGAGTCAGTTTGACCCAGGCTTTGTTAGAGAAAACAGGTCTTTGCAAAACAGAAATTCACTTGGGACAGAAAGTTAAAAATATTTAGGTAAGCAAAATAACACTGAGAATAACAGCACCTTTTATATGTTTACATTTGTTGAATTTCTTACCACCTTTCACTGCAATTAAGGAAAAAAAGACTGAACTTAGTAGAACACTGGATTATAATGCACCACTCAGCTAGGCTCCAATCCTCTCCATTTCCTCTCTCCCGCAAAATACACTATTTGGAAAAATAAGCAGTGTTTATTTACTAACAATGACATAAAATACATCTTAATATATTTTTATTTCTTTACAAATTAAAAGATGCATTGGAATAAACAAATGAAGAAAATGCAAGGTTCATTTATGATTTCATTTCCACCCCCCAATATTAATACTAGAAATTAGTACTGTGGAATTCTGTGGTTGCTGAGCTTTATATTCCTGGAAAGCTGTTGTTTCTCTCGTTAAAAATCCTCTATATTTTTTTTTTTGGTTGGAGGCAGTCTATGGAGTAAAAAGTCAGCCACATTCATACAAAGGGAAAAAAAAGAAGAAACAGAAGGTTCTGTCAACTACATCTTGAAAGTTTCTCCATTACATTTTCATAATCCCCTTTCTATGTAGTGATGGGAGGGAAGACAAACTAGCAGCATTAGAGGAAAAATGGATTTATATACACGCTTCAAGATACAGGACTAAAACCACAGCCAGATATTTTTCTGAACTTAACAAGGACTCTCCTCCGAGATGTCAAGCCCAGATAATATGTTCTCTAATCCATCCACATTTTCCCATTTTTAGTGCTATCTCCAGCTAACTCCCAGGTGTCATAGGAATATCCGTAAAACATTCAAGCTAAAATATAAACCTCCTTTCAAATGTAAATAAACAAAGTCCTTGGAATTCTGGATTTGATTTACACTCATGACTGCTGTGCAGGAGTCTTTTCATCTACCCTCACGGAATGGAGCAGCAGAGGGGCCAAAGTGGATGGATTAATCTGTCTGAGGTATTTTAGTTGAACAAACAGACTTACAAAAAGGTTCTGTGCAGGCTGATCAGTAGGTTTAATGGGGGAGGGTATAAACATCCAGTGATGAAACTCTTGCCATCCCAGATCCTTTCTAACAACTGGAACCAGGTACTTGCATACCTGGCAAGTATAAACTACTGCAATAAAGCCTGTATCTTAGGTTTTGCTTTACCCTTCTAACGGTGCAAAACAGCCTCAAATTTGCCACAGTAAAGCTCAGTTCATGCTTGTTTGCTATGATTCACAATAGTATGGTTAAAACTGGACCGTTCTTATCATCCTGTTCCCACATAGCCCCACATTGCCTTGTTAGAAGTATTTTCTGCTTAACCTTAAGAGGCTTTTGTTCCCACCACCATCTGGATAGACAGGTAAGCTCTGCAGAAAAAGAAAGGCTGTGGAACAGGGACTGGGTAGGACAACGTCAGGGCTGTGCAATGYGAAAGGAAGGAGCCATCGCTCGCAGCGGCAGGAAGCACCGACCGTACCCGACTGTTCCGAAGCCGCTCACTGTTGCTCACTGAACAACTACTCCAGCAGAGATCTGCACAGTAACTCTGAACACARAGAAGACAGTGGAAGGGGATTTGCCCTGCTACCTCCTGGCTTACCACTCMTTTCCTTTTTTAAGGATTTCTGGTCCGAAGGGCCACATGATGCACTTGTGCTCTGCAACGTCACCTTTCCTGCTTAAAAAGAGGAGGGAAACTGTTTGGCTGCTCCAGCTCCCATCACCTGACCTGCTTCTTGTCCTCCCCACTTATGTCCTCTTCACCCTTGGAGCATGCACACGCGCCCATACAAACACACAGCAACTACCAGAAGTTTTGAAGAGTTATCGCTTTTTCACCCAATGTTGAATCATGTACAGTGAATTGAAAAAAAAAAAAAAAAAGAAATAACCAACCCTACATTCATTAGGACAGGATTAGCGAGCATGGGAGGGGGGGTGAACTCCTGCCAAGCACAGGAAATGATTTAGATACAAGTAAAAGACCTGGTATCAAAGGCCTTTTTTCYGGCCCTCACCAGGAAAAATTTTCATCTCTCAAATGGGGCTGGGAGAGATTGAAAGGATTTCTGCTTATGCAACATGTATTAAAAATTATGGAATTGTACAGATTTCTATGTTGTCCTTTTTGAGGGCGCTGGGCCTTCTGATCAGGTGTTTAGTTGAGACTGAAATGTCACTGTTGAGTTCCAGCACCGCTCCCGCCTCTAGCTTAGTAGCTGCCGAATCTCCTTGTGCATGTGACACAGGAAGTCCACATAGGAAGCCCCCCCACTCAGGCTCTTGTCCTCCACTAGAAAGTGTTTGAACAGCATCTCCAGTTTATCTTCTTGCTTCACAATTATTAGCTACAAAAAAAAAAA